TTGCAGATTCGGGGTCCTCTCGCCGAGAGCACAGGAGGACCCCACCTTCAAAAAAAAAATTAAAAAAAATTCTGGGCTGTTTTTTTGCCTGTGCCCCGGTTTGCCCGCGCGGCCCACCCAGGCCCGCCCGGCCGGGCGGCGTAAGTACTCAGCTTTAAGTTTAATATCTAAATAGATGACATTGTTACGATCCTGGCCAATTCCGAAGTGCAAATACACAAGGAAAGACAATGACATACAACTACAACCGAAATGAAAGAACTTGAGATGAGAGAGAGGCAAAGGAAGAAGAAGATGTACACCAGCAAAAGACCAATGACAAATCTCCCTTCTCTCGCCAACCAATCTCCTCCTCCTTATCTCGCCCTCTTATTAAACAATCAATAATAATAATAACAATGAATGGCTGAACCAGAACCAATGTCCGAATCCCTCTCTTATTGCCAGCACAATATGAGGTCCACCATAGCCATGACCTCCACCTCCATCCACTTCGGATAGATGATGGCTGTGGCAGACTACTAGGGGCCCAGCCCCGATGTTCAAAAGGCAACGCAAAAGCAGCTATGTCCTCTACGCCTCAGGCTGCAATGCCTGACTCTGCCCTGAAAGCCTTCTTGATGCAGCCCACCCCGTTCTGGGGCCTTCCAGATGCACCACCTACCTAGGAGATGAAGATGGCGCCCGCCATAGCCAGGTAAGTACCTCTGGCTACCCTCCTTCCCAGTCCCTTTCTTCCTCCTCCTCCTACCAGGCGCTATCACCATCGCCGAGGTGGAAGCCCTGGTGCTCCTCTCGCCAGTACTGCACACAAGCGCTCTACCACCAGGCGCTCCAGCAGCGTGACGCCCAAACTTTCACGCAGCAAATGAGGAGCAACTCGCTTCTCTTGGAGATATAGCAGCCAACCAGCCTCATTTGCCAGTGACGTCCGGGCCACAAAACCGCCAAGCAACCGATACCTCCTCCCATTCGGAGGGAAACATCATTGCAGGTATGATATCGTCCACTACAGGCCCTAGACTCAGACTTCAGGACTGTTACCTCAACCTAGATCCACTGGACTCTCTAAGACTCACACGACCTCTAGAGGTACTAACTTTGTCTTCTTCTGCTCGGTCTACTGCTACTCAAGTACCTACGTGTTATGAACCTGGTTGCTTGTTGTCAAATGACCAGCACTTGCTCCCATAGACTTCTAAGTATGCCCATACATACACAGAAGGAAGGGGAGAGGATGGGAGTATCACACCGCACAGGGAGAGAGAAACACAGTGGAAGACTTGACCATGCGATATGACAAAAAGCACTGACAGTGCAATTCGCTCCACAGAATCCTCACAACTAGTCACAAAGGAAAACCGAGTAGATCACATCCAGGAAAACAATGAAGCAATGATAGTCCAAACCCAGTATCAACACTGTTTATTAAACTCAGAGTCTCGAATTGTCAGAATAACCCCAGAACTATGGTGCGCTGCTCAGAAATGATCAGCGCTTCACTCCCCAACCCTGAGTAACTGCTATTACTACCCCTGAGTCCCTGAAACATCAAGCGCCACCCAGATACAGCCTCCAGAGGGAAGCGCGGCCCTGAAACAGGCCTCTGAGGCCAAGCGCCGCTCAGAGGATGAAGAAGAAGACCAGCGCCACAGTGTCTGATGATGATGAAGTGCCGGATGACTTCCCGGGTGGAAGTCTACAGCAGCGCCACCTCTCCTGACAAGATGATCTCTGAGGAAGAAGCTGCAGCTATGGCTGCAGCGCCACACACCCTGACACCCTACTCCTGAGGAGGGTTCAGCAGGGCTCCAACTTCTCTCGCCTCCAGCAGACTTCGAGTAGCCCAGACCGCTGAGCAGCCCCACGTGCTGTCAGAGTACAGTGCCAGTCCCAGCTATGGCTGACACTCCGCAGGCCTGGCTATGTCCGTCTCCTCCAACGCTGAAGCTGTCACCACGTCCAGTTCACGCGTTGCACAGCAGTGACGTACACAGTACCAACCGCCAAAAAGCCCTGAACCGATGTCCTCCTCCTATCTATAACCTACACTAGCCTAGACTCGACCTAGACCGGACTGACTGGACCGACCGGTACCGTTTCAGTTTCGGCCTCCAGGGCCTCTCCCTACCCGGCTATAGGCTATAGAACCGTCCATCAGCTTAGGCCTGTAGGGCCTGTCTGTCCTAGGAGTAGCCCGGGCCTGCTATTCGCAGTGAGGGTAGCTGTAGGTAATTTCAGTTAGTACGTGCCTGTGTTTTCCCGAATTTACAGAGATGTCCCTCAAGAATTTTCCCTACAGGACCCAGGTAGGTCTCTCGGTTAGCCCTCAGCCAAACAAAATTACGAATCTATCCTACCTATAGTACAGCCTCGACAAGAGAGGCTACAGGCAACCAAAAACCACCAAGTCATTGCATACGGGCCTAGCCTACCGCTACCTGAGTGTACCCCTAAGCTACCCCTACGGCCACCCTCAAAGTCACGGCCACAGGTAAGTACCAGC